AATATTTTCTTTATATCTATTTCTGCTTGTGGAGCAAGCATCTTAGAAGATCCAACACAAGTACCAAGCCTTCTGGGTAGCTTCCCAATCTATACTCCCTTAACATTGCTGTGTTTTTCTTTTGTTACTTGGCCCTTTGTATTTTCTTCCCTACTAGTTTCATGTCAGGAAAGATAGTTTCTCAATCATTCCTAGGCAAATTGTACCCATTACTTAATATTACCTATGATGCACATATTTGTTCATTGAGATGCCTCAGTACATAGTTGTGTGTTCAAGGGAAAGAAAAAGTATGTACAAGAGGAAATACTTTATAAGCTGTTTTCTGAATCTGCAGGGCAAACTGCTTGAGGCATTGACTAGAAAACTGGGCCATGATCCTTCTATATTTGGGAAAATGTCTCACCAGAGACATAAAGGGAAAAAGTACATATTATGTGTAGCATAATATTAAAAACCTATATAGAATCCTGATACTGTAATGTTTATTCCTTGAAATATATTTTTATTTAATATCTTACATAAGAAAATAGAGCCAGCACTAAAAGGGGTTTCTTCATCCTCTAAAACATACTAAATGCAAAAACAAGAAATTCTGTGCCAAAAATGTTTTTCTTAAATTTTGAGGTAAACCAAGAAAACATCTTATTTGTGATTATCAAGAAATTTGACATTCACACATTCAGCTTTTGATACAATGTACCATAATTTGTTTATCTGGCAGGTCTATGTTGGTTTCAAATTGTAAAAATGAAAAACAAAATTGTATGTGGTGAAAATAGTTAATTTAAATAAAAATTTTTGGCAGTTCCCCTATTTTTGAAATTTGTTCCTCAAGCTCTTCATAATCTCACTTATCTACATTTAAAAGAAAGCCAAACACTGGTGTCTTGTTCTTTATTTTATTAATATGAAAACTAGAACCCAAAAGCCAAAGAATTGTGCCAAAATTAAGCAATATCTGAGCAAAGTGTGAAACTTTTAAAAGTTTCACTAATAAGGCATTCAAATTTCTTATGTCTGTTTACATAATTTTCTCACTTATTTTTAAAAATATGTTTCAATTCATTTTAGAGAGAGGAAGGGAGAGGGAGAGAGAGATAGAAACATCAATGATGAGAGAGAATCATCAATTGGCTGTCTCCTGCATACCCCTACTGGGGATCGAGTCCGAAACTCGGGTATGTGCCCTGACTGGAAATTGAACCATGACCTCCTGATTCATGGGTCAACACTCAACTACTGAGCCACACCAACCAGGCTTCTCACTTATTTTTATTACAAGAACTATCCTTTTTAATAATTCCCCTTTAAAATTATATTTCTTATACCAGACTTATTCTGGTAATAAATACTTCTAGTTGTATTATAGTAGGAAATATTTTTGTTCTGATGCTTTCGCCTTAATAAAAGTTATTTACTAAAAAGTAGAAATTATGCCAAGATAAAAATAACTAAAACATCATTTATGGGCTCACAATAATAATCTAAGAAAATGCTAACATTTTTAAAATAATATTGCACTGATCACATTTTGTAGTAGTAATGGCAACAAAAGCTCTCAAACATTGCTGGCAGGAGTATAAATAGGTGCAACTACTTTGGAAAACTTGCAGTATCAACTCAAGCTAAAACCAAGCAGTATATATACTAAACTACCCCTGATCCAACAATTTTTGCTCTCGAGAAAGACTTAGGCCCAACCCATACAGTCCCCAAATGAATGTATTCACAAAAAGATATGTTCAAGGATGTTCATCGCAGCACTAGACAAAACCTAAAAAATACTTAAATATTCCATAATAAAACAACAAGTAAATTGTGATGTCTTCATATAGTGGAATACCATATAGAAATGAGAATAAACAAGCTATTGCTACATGCAACTATATGGAAAATCACATAAACACAATGCTCATAAAAATAAAGCAGACACACATGAGTATTTATATAAAGTTCAAAAGCAGGGAAAACATATTCATTGTTGAAAAAGTCAAGGTAGTGATTATCTTTTGGCAAAACAGTTCCTGGGAAAGAATGCTGTGGTGGCAGAGAGCAGGGTGGGGACTTTCGTTACACTGGCAATGCTACATCTTGATCATAGTCTCTTTACATGAGTGTGTTACTTTTGTGAACCTTCATACAGAACTTGTCATTTGTATACTTTTCTGCATGTATGTTGTATCTCAATTAAAAAATTAAAAATCGTTTACAACCTATGAAAAAAGGTTTGTAATCGTAAATTATCCTATATAATAAAAGGCTAATATGCCAATAGACCGAATGTTAAAACAACTGAACAACCGGTCACTATGATGTGTGCTGACCACCAGGGGGTGTGTACGGAACATGGTGGGCATTGGCCGAAGTGGGATGGTGGAGCAGGTGAGTGGGGGCACCAGACCAAGGCGGGCATTGGTTGCTTTCATCGGGGCGAGGCTCTGATAGTTACTGAAAATTCTTGGCTCCTGCACGCCGCAATCCCACCCGCCTCTCGCACCCACTGCCAGCGCTGGCCCTACTCGCACCCTCAGCTGACACCAGAGCCGAAGCTTGCACCCACTGCCCATGCCCGGCACCAGTCCCGATCACTCAGTGCCATCAGTGGGTGTGAGTGGTGGCTGTAGGCCCTGTTCACCCCTGAGGGCTTCTCCACCTCCTCCTGCTCCTGAGGGGCGATTGGGGTAGCAGCCTCTGCTCACACCTGCTGCTGGTGCCGGCCGGAATCGCTCTGTGCTGTCAGTGGGTTTGAGCAGGGCCAGTGCCATCAGTGTGTGGGAGTAGTGCCAGCTGGAGCAGGGCTGCGGCAGACAGGAGATGGGGGGTGGAGGCGAGGTGGGAGGGGTCGGGGGGGGCACGGAGAATGGGCTGAGACCTGCTCCTGTGCCTACTGCAGCCTCTCAGCCCACAGTTCCTTTCAAGGTGCATGAATTCATGTACTGGGCCCCTAGTATAATTATAAATATTGATGGTTTCTAGATATTTTTGCCTCCAAATTGCCCTGGAAAGAATATTTTAAATTTAAAAGATATCTTCGTGAATTAATACTAAATACTTTTGTTACTTTTTTAAGTTTACATGTTGTTTTTTTGCTCAGTATATCACAAATAGACTTAGTGAACAAAGAATAGTTTCCATAAACACATTTATTTTATAAAATATTTTCAGTAGAGGGAGCTTCACTTTCTTTACTTTAGAAAATGTTCATTCAAGGGCCATCACTGAAAATAAAAAATACTTTACATTTTGTATATTATTAAAGTTCTTCATAGAATGATGAAGGTAAAGGAATAAAAAAGTGCCACTCTCATTCAAGACTAGTCTAAGATAGATAGAGAGAAAACTTACCCAATTTATGAAAGGAGAAAGAAAAAACTTGATGAAGAATACACATATCAATTAAACTTCTATATTGGGTATGTCTTTTTCAAGAAATTACATTTTTGGAGTATTCATAAAAACATTTTTAACTAAAAGTATTCAATATTAATGAAGATAAGTTCTTATCATCATGATTATGAGTTTGAAATACAATTTTGTGAATTTCAATTAAATGACAAAAATCAGAGATTCTAGTGATGAAGAATACATAACTAAGAATGTATTATAACAAAAACCAAAAAAGAATATATTATAACAAATATGTGAATTGACATTATACAAATCTGACCACACTGACCAAAATATTTTAGTTACTGACATTAAGCTTCCTAAATCTGAATATCTATTAAGTTATTATGATTTCTCTTATCACATTAATTCCTTTCCATGAAATATCCATAAATGTAAAAAAGCTCTATACTCTTTGATTTGATCACTACATATAAAATTTGTGACAATTAGAAAGTTTAAAAATTTACTAAGTCTTATTAAAATATTTTCATTGAAAATATTCTGGTTTGCAGTGGTTGAACCCCTTAAAAAAAGTCAGTAATTTCATAATATAATAACCTTCACAACTGGTCCCTATTATTATAGGCTTATCAAAATAATATAGCTTGCTTTTATGAAATATATTATGTTTTTCTAAGGTGTCCAAAGGTGAAATTTTGACCTGGAAACTCAGAAAAGAATATTTACTACTTCAATAGAAATCAATATACACAAAACTTACTCTAATTATTTTATTTCAATCTCTTGTAAAGCTTGTAAGCCATAAGATGGAAATTATAATAAAATGAAATTTATATCGATTGTTCAAAAATCTATATGCTCAGTATCTTGCTTATACATTGTTCATTTAAGAATGGAGGTTAAATTATCTGATCTTTTGCCTAGTCTCATTTCCTCTTTAAATTAATTTAAAAGAAAAAATAAGGCCTACAAATATGACTGGACATGATAAGAAAATGACATGTCATAGAGCAATATTATTGTTCTATGGGGTTTTTATTATAGTACTTTCTCCAAAAAGATTACTTTTGACATATAACATATCTAATGATTTATTTATGTATTACCTGAACTAAGCTCATTAGAAATAGCACAACTTCATTTATTTTTTATTCATTTACCTTAACCTCTGGATATATCAACAATGTTCAGAATTTTTCTGGTTAATAAATGTTTGTGTTCTAATTGTTTTCCTTTTAAAAAGTTAGCAATGTTCCATTTCTAATTAGTAAATGTTTTTAACTACCCAAAAGAGAGTAACCCACAACGTATAATTTACTTAGAAAAAGGAATCTCTAATAGCAATTTGAGAAGGAAAAGCTTGGCTTCAGAAATAACTTTTCCAGGGTAATCTCAGTTGCCTCTAATATAAGACGACAATTACTAAAATGCATTATTTTCATAAAATAGAGCAAAGTTACATGTTTTCAGAGGTCTCAATAGATAGACTGCTAGGCACTTTAGACATAAAATAATACGATTTAAGGGGTGCTCTCAACAAGTTAATTTCTAATTGCATTCTTGGTCTCATCAATAACAGGTGGTTGAATTCTAGTACACAGGCTTTTTAAATAAGTTCTCCAACCGTTAAATACAAATAGACTCACCTGAGTAACAGTGCTGCTTCCCAGAAATAAAATCCCGAAACTAATGTCCGAAAGTGTCTCACGTGGGCCATGATACGGAGAGATATTCACGATCCTGAAATTAGTCTTATCCAAGGCATGGGGGAACAAGAAAGCCTGGAATGAAAATAAGCAATCTAACTCCGTGTAGTGGTGGAGACAAACGCTTGGAAAGCGTCAGCACCATAGACAGCTCCCCGCGGTCGGCGGAGGCCCTGTCTGCCTTTCAAACCTTTGAAATTCCCTTTCTACCCTTCTCTGAGCACTGAGCAGAGGGGCATTCAGGGGGTTACAAATGTGCAGGTGATTTACACAGTGAACGCGGAATAATGGGTGAGATGAAATGTATGAAGTGCCTAGGTTCTGGGCAACAGTTCACTGGAGCTCTAGCGGCAAAAGAAAGAACGCTTGTCCTTTCCTGACTCAGACCCACGTTTGAAGAAAGAACAGCAGCCACAGCCGGAATGAAAACGCTTCTTCACCTGCTCCAAGCGCCGCCGGCCCAAATCCCACTCTCCACCTTTGGGGAAGACCCAAAACCGCCAGCGCGGCAAAGGGAAGCGGGGCGGGGCCAGACGACACTGTCTTGCCCGCAAATCACAACCGCACAGCGGGACAGAGTGACAGGCCACTCACGATGGTAGGCGGTGCTTAGCACTTCACCCTTTTTAAAAAAAAAAAAAAAGCAGCGAGTAACTGATGCAGAGCCTAGAGGGCGACTGGAGTGTGTTGGGGGAAGGAAGCTTCAGGGCTAAGCCTGGGAGAATCAGGGGCTTTTGTGGGTTAGTTAGCAGAGTCGCTTTGGAGGGGCCACCCATTGTTCACTTCCGAGAAAAGTACAATTTAGTAACTGTGACCCCATGTCTTTGACCTTACACGGAGATGTAAGAGTAAGCTGTAAGCCCATGGAAAGGGCTAAGGAAGAGCAGAGAATGTGGTGCATGGGCAGCAGCAGACAGGAAAACACACTGCTTCTAGAATCCTCTCATAATCCAGCTTCTGGCCAGGAAGCATTATTGACTAGAGTGAGTTGAGTTTCCTTCACTCATAATAAGGGCTCTAAAAAGATGAAGGCGGGAAATCTAAAGAGATGGCTACTTAGAGGCACAAGCTACCCACCATTTCTTCTTACATATTTTCATTAACTTAACAGTAAGTTCAAGTAAGAAGGACAGCTAATTCATTTGCTGTACCTCTTCTGTCATCCATCTCTCTATCTGCTCTCCCCCCCTACCCCCGCCATCTTGACCATTTACATGGGGATGTGGATTGGAAGACTGAAAAGGAAAATTGTGTGTGTGTGTGTGTGTGTGTGTGTGTGTGTGTGTGTGTGTCTCAAGTGTCTCAAAATAATGGAATATTAAAAAATTAAAATCTATTGTTAGATCTTTACAGTGGCTTTTATTACTATCAACAAGGATCAAAATGTTCACTCACCTCTTCAATCTTAACTTTTGCCCCAAACCCCTGCAAATATATTCTGAAAGCCCTATTTTAATCTCATAACTTTCTCAATAAATAAACTACATGCCTTTTTACTCTTTATCCATTTTCCTTTTAATTAGATTCCAACAGCAATTAACATATCAAGTACCCTGTAAATCTATTTAACTGGAAGAGTAGAAGTTATTACCTTTCAACCCTCTTCAATGAGGACAATCAAAAAAAAAATCTCTTCTCTTTACTCTTTAGCAGACATCTTTTCACATCTTCGTTTTCTTATTTAAATCACAAACTTCCAGAAGCCCATAAGTAATATTATTGATTCTGCCCATGAATATTTGCATCTTGAGAAAGTTCATACAATTTTAGTTAACTCAGTTTTTCAGTGAGTCTTTTGAAAACTCATGAAATACAAGTGCTTTTTAGTTGGCCATTCTTTGAATAGCATTAATTGTTTTAAAAAACACAGATAATAATAATAATAAAAAAGTGAAACTTACTCTATTTCAAGAAGGCTTAGATTCCTTGCCTTGTTTCTCCACTAAGTAACTGGGCATTTTTGGAAAAGTGTTCTTGCCGGAGACCAATTCCAGCATGTCATAATTTCAAGAGTTTCATCAAAAGGTTGATGAGACTTGGGGACTCAACAGAGTTGAGTCACACCTGTTGGGAATGGCTAAAGGCATTTCCCCAAACCTGAATAGGAAACTGATTGTGGCTGCCAGACAGTTAAAGGGCATCTTAATCTCCATGTTATTGCCTCCTACTGGCAAAACACCTGGACAGCCGTAGGCTAATTCCCCCATTCTGACAATGGACTCTGTACCAAACCCGGACCCTTTGAAGTGTATATCTCTGCCTTGCCTCAGGACAAGTTGTGTTAATAAAAATCATGGGGTCCTGGGGACTGAGATAACCTAAGATCTTAGACTTAAGATCTTGGATCTTAGCTCCTTTAGCTAAGCTCCTCTGACCCCCAGTGCCTTTCAAAATTATATTTCATCTCTGGACTTTTTATTAGTCTCTGGATTCCTATGTCACCTACACACAGCCCCTTCTCTAGATTCCTGAAACCTTCTTGATGCTGGGACAAGAACCCTGGCAGATCTACTTTTAAAAATATTTTTACTTAGTATATCTTTAAAATAGGTATTTATTGAGATAATTAAATTAAATGACCTCTGAGATTCATCCTCTGGCCCAAAGAAGACAACCAATCAATGAATGTTTATTTAAGTAAACAAATGTATGGATGATATGATATTTAAAAGTCTATGTTTACATTTATCTGGATAGTTACTAGTAAGTTATATAATAACTTAGCAGGCAGGATGATTTTAGTTATTTCTCATTAAAATGAAAGCATAGGAATATTATACTTTATCAAGTTAAGATATATCTAGTCAATCAGTTTCTTAGATATAAATATAAAAGGGTAACTGGAATCCCCATGTTACTCATTTTTCAGAGCACCATGATTATTTTCTTCAAATTGCTTGTGACAAGCTATCATCCTCCTTGTTTATTTGATTTCACTACAATGAGGATAATGGCCATTATTTAGCATAGCACCTACCATGTAAGGCAGAAATGAAATTTCATGCATATGCATATTTGTGGTATCTATTCTTGTAAATTTTACTCTTTTGAGAATAATAGCCCTGATTGTACCAGTAGGTGAATGAATGTGTTTTGGGGGAAAAGACTATTCTATGGATAATGACTGACTGACTAGTTCATTCATGTCAAATTAAGCTATATTCTGATATGACCAAATCTCTGCTCTTCTCATTGTGTCCTTTATTATTTCTTTCTTGCACTAATGGATTATATTTCACATTTTACAAGATGTGGGACTTCAGGGCTGACTTGGATATTAATTTTTATCATATTTAATGCTCTCCTTTTACAGAAGAAGTAATTGTAGCACCAAACAGTTAAGTGATCATTACAACCCCTTGTATTCAGCAAGCTGAAGATATCAAACTTGACTTCGGTGCTTCCGAATTATTGTGTAATATTATGTCCACTACCATGGAGCTATCTCTAATAGTATATTTCTACTATTGTCTCAAAAATATATACATATTTCCTGGTTGGGTAACTTAGTTGGTTAAAGCATTGTCCCAATATGCCAAGGTGTTGTGAGTTGATCCCCAGTCAGGACACATACTATAATCAGCATTAATAAGTGGAACAACAAATGTCTCTCTCTCCCCTCCCTCCCTTCCTCTCTCTCTCTAAAGTCAATTTTAAAAATATGCATATTACCTAAACTACAGAAAAGTAAATCAATTTCAATGTAATGATAAAGTTATTTTCATATGCTCAATGGTTACTACCAATGATCTTAAACATATAACATTTTGTATATATTGCTAAAATTACTTGCTATTTATAGAGGACTTATTTACTTGTTTGAGGTCATGCAATGTGGGGTTAGTAATAGTTTACTGAGAGTTGATTAGATTCAGTAGCATTGGGTCATTCTAGCCATCTTATCAAAAGCTTATGTATAAATCAAAATGCCAATTTAAAAACTTACAGACAGTAATGCAACTTTGCAGTAATTAAGAATATTAATATCTTTGAATTAACACTCTGGAAGAGTAAAAGTTTTAATTTAGGAATTAATCAGAAACTCACTTGTTCAACATAAATCAGGTAGAGAAGAATTAATCTTATGTCAGTGAGAGATATTATCATTAGGTACATGAGCCTAATGAATTTATATTTTGTATAGGACTTTACTTACTGAGCAGATTATAATGATCATGACATTAAGCTGATCAGGTGACCCTGTTTTTTAGGAATAGTGGTAGAAATATCCAATAGTTTATCCCCATTTCCTTGTTCAGGATATAAAATTTCTCACATGGATCTCAGCCACAGCCTCCTGTTTTTTCCTGCTTGCTTTCTTATTCTTTTTGATTAATCCTCCATTGTGAATATCAAGGTTTTTTTGTTTATTTTAATAAATCAGATGATGCTACTCCTTTTAAAATTAAATTTGTTAGAGTGACATTAGTTAACAAGGTAGGTTTCAAGTGTAAATTTTTATGGTACATCATCTGTATATTGCATTGTGTGCCAACCACCCAAAATCAAATGATTTTGTCACCATACATTTGACCTCTTTATCCTTTACTACCCTCCACTACCTTCCCTCTGATAACTACCATACTGTTGTCTGCATCTATGAGTTTTTGTTTGTTTGTTTGTCTTATTTATTCATTTATTGCTTTCATTTTTATATCCTACATATGAGTGAAATCATATGGTCTTTAACTTTTTCTGTCTAACTTATTTCCCTTAGCATTCATGATGTCACAAACGGCAGTATTTGATCTTTTCTGGTGACTGAGTAGTATTCCACTATATATATATGTCTTTTTTATCCAATCATCTATCAAAGGAAAAGATGCTCAACTTCACTAGATATTAGGGAAATACAAATCAAAACTACACTGATGCCGAAACCAGTTTGGCTCAGTGGATAGAGCGTCGGCCTGCAGACTGAAAGGTCCCACGTTTGATTCCGGACAAGGGCATGTACCTGGGTTGCAGGCACATCCCCAGTAGGAGATGTGCAGGAGGCAGCTGACCGATGTTTCTCTCTCATCAA